TTTATTAAACTTCACCGAAACAATCTGCAGATTTCATTAAAATTGAATAAACTATCATCTTGTCTTTATTTTTAGTTAGCACCTTAAAAGCTTAAAGCTGTAAGCTAATGATAGTTATATAAGAGCAGATGCTGCTGGTGCAATAAGCTGTACGTTTTACGTCCAGTGGATGATGATCCGATTAGTCGACTAATGCAAAAATAATCGGTGACTAGTCGACTATCAAAATAATCGTTTGTGGCAGCCCTAGTGAAGATGCTGCAGAGGATGGAGATGTGCTGTTTGGTGCCATCCATGAAGCAGATGATTTACAGGCAGTATGAGAATAATGAAACTATCTCAGACAGTATACCAACGACCTTAAACCCCTACATGGAGTCTGTAGGCCTGGTGTCTTTCTGCTCTTATTGCTTAGAGCTGACCCTGAACTGTTAACAGTGCCCAGCCTTCAGATGAGAAAACCTTTTTATGTAGGTAACCCCCTGACACTGACCTCTGGGTAAACGTTAACATTTTAATCTGAATAAAGATTTAGCAAACACATCTATAATTGTGTTACCGGGTGAATATTGAGGAGGAACGGCCTCATGGGACTCTTTAGGGCGTGTGTGGATATCGCCAGTTGTTAAAGCAAACCAAATAAAAGTTTTGCCCTGCGTAAACATCACGTTTCTCGCCAACGGATGTGTGTCTCCCTTTCTATTTACCGGTTGTGCTGATGTGTTGTGTGAGAGCACGGTGCCTGCTGTTTACTCTGCGGGAGACCAGATAATTTCTGTAGATAATGCACACTGCTGTGCAAAAAGTTTATATGCATCTGATGCTCAGATTCCTATCCGTCGGGGACGCGTGGGATCATCTCAGATGCATTGTGCAGCACAACAATGAGCCCCAACATTCATCCGGAGTGATAAAGGACTATCATCAAGCAGAGAAGAACAAGCGGTCCTGGAACAGATGGTGTGGACCCCACAAAGCCCCCGATCTCAGCATCGTGGAGTCATTCTGGGATTGCAGAAAGAGATAGGGGAAAGTTTAGATGTTACTGCCAACTCGTATGGAAAAGGGAAAACTTTCCCTCAAACAGTGAATGCGTATACATCATGTAAAAGACTAACAGGACTCATATGTGTCATATGGACTTTTTCATGCGGTTGCTGTTACAGCCCTTGTCCAGTCTCTGGATCCAACCATGGAGGAGTTTTCAGTAGGAGAGTCTACAGTTCTCAAACCCACGCATGGTCCATTAGCTCCAGTGTGTGAGCAGCTGAATGCTGCTTGTTTCTTTGGACTGCACCGAGTCCTGAGTTCGCGCCCTGGGGTCGGACTATCAGTGCAGAGCCGGCGCCCGTGGGAGAACCTTATGCAGAAATGACCCGGACAGTGTTGATGCCATCTCTCGCCTGCGCAGTGTACATTTAAAAGCAACCCAACTTCACCTGGCTTGGCTCCCCGTGTGCTTGTCTTCTCCCACAAAGTGACGTTCTGGTCAAGTTAAACTAAAATCATAAACCAGCGGTCCCCAATCTTTTTTGCGCGGCACACCGGTCCTACGATATTTTCACAGACTGGCCTTTAAGGTGTCGCAGATAAATACAGCCAAATAAAACCAGTACCAGTACAAAAAAAAGGAAATGTATTCATAACACACGGGAAAAGACCCAGGGAAACTGAGGTAACGATAAAAGTGATAAAAAATAACGGTAAAAACGCTGAAAACCATAAATTTCACACCCGAACCTCAACTCTCGCGGCCTGGTACCAAACGACTCGAGGTTGGGGACCGCTGTCACAAACCATACCTGATTTTTAATTCGGCTGCTCTCCCTCCAATCTAGTCTTCTTGTTCGGCGGCTTCCTGTTCTGACCATAGATCTCAAAATTGCACCGAAGACAAAGACTTCTGAACGTGAGAGATTTTGGGCCACACCCACAAACTGTTGTCTTGCTATCAGCCAGATTTGAGCTGTTTTCCCAGTCAGTTTAGTGCTACCCCAGGAGAAGACCATAAGAACTGAGATTATTTTTAACTAATAGGTTCCTGCCATTGCAAAGATTGTACACATAACATCTATGAACAGTGATTTTCTATAAACTGTGTTTGTGGTTCTGTGTTCAGCCATTCCTCAACCCAGAGGGGGGGTCCAAGTGTGACGTCGTCCTGCTGAATCGTTGGAGTGTGAGAAACTACCAGGTCCAACGAGGTGACATCGTGTCTGTTGTGTGAGTAAATAAACCAAACGACACACGTGTGCATGAAATGGTTGTTTTGTTGAGAAATTATCAGACGGTGATGTAAACAAAACCCCCCGGTGCGTCTTTCACTCACGTTTCACGTGTACGTTTGTTTTTGTGTGGACGAGTCTCAGAAGTCGCTCTACGGCTACACGGCTAAGCTGCTGGGTTTGTGTTGATGCAGAAACCTTTTCACAGCCTCATATTCAACACCATCATCGAGTATAACGACGGGTTTGAACAAAATACCTGCAAGAAAAGGACAACAAGAAACCAGAATGATCTGAAAGTGACAGATAACAAATATCTGCTGGAGAAATCAAATGAAGCCACGAAACGCTGTGATTAACAGCGGCTGCGGTATTTTAAAAAGTTCGAGCTCTGATGGGGAACGCGTTCCCAACATTTGTTTTGTTGTGTGTCTCTCTGTAGATGGCGGCTGCTTTTGAAAGCTTAGCGCAGCGAGAACAATAGGAGCGCTCTTTATCTGACATTTCACGGGTACAAGGAGATGAGTCACTTATAAAACTAATATAATTTTATTGTCAAAGCATCAAAGCTGAGCCGTTGGTCTAACAGTTGGATTACAGCTGTGATAACACACTGCAGCCTCAAAGTCAGAAACACATTAAAGCAGGGATGTATGCACGTTTTCTTCCAGTGTTTTCCTTTTGTTAAACGGACACTCGGTCCGTTAAAAGGATTTCTGGAAGTGACTTTTAAGTTTTAACTAGAAACTAAGTTTGTGGGCGGTATGTTCCTCCCGGTTTGGAGGCTAAATCACTTTTGATGATTTTGCTATACAAGTTGTGATTGGAAAGTTTGGTCGGTCCATTGATCCATCCGTCTAAGATCTGGACAAAGGAAGGATTGTAGGTCTGCTAACTCGGGGGAGTGGTGAGTTTTGCATTTATATGGATTTTTTGCGTATTCTGTGTGCAGGCAAACGATGGCCACCGCACTGTGGTGCATAAGATAAGATGAACTAATAAAGGTCATCTTATCTTATCTTATGCACCACAGTGCGGTCTATGAGACTTTTGCCCAAGGTAGAATATTAATTAGAGCTCCTCTAAGTCTCGAAATTCTTGACTCCATGAACATTGAATAAAACAACAAGGATGCTCGTGGTTCGAGTTTGGACTCTTCGACTGAAAACTGTGACTCGGCCGGACGCCCCGGTCTCGTCTCCAGGTAAGTCAGATTCCCACATCCGCTTCGTGCGCGGCGGATTCTGCTCCGAGTGAACCAAACATAACAAACAGCGAGTGTGGTCCATCGAAAGAGCACCGACGCACACAGAGCCTTCGCTGCTCATCAGACAAATCTCGCTGGAGAATCACAAGTTTGAGTTTTTGCATCCGAGTGCAGCCTGGGAATGTCTCAGCCGTCCGTCCTCAGTCCCAGACGTCCGCCGCTCCATCGATGTTCCTGTGAGCGTCACACACACTGATTCAACCTGTTCAAACTGGAGAAGCTGCAGTCCCTCCAGCTGCTCCGAGACCCACAAAACTGAGATTTTACAATGAAATTGACAGATTTAACAGCCTTTTCCAGCTGTTTGATGGCGTGACGATGATTCTGTCATTTTTCCCCTAATTCTTTGTTATTTGAGGCAATCTGTGACAGGAGGCAGGAAGACGAGTCCTCCTCTGTGATTCTGCCCGGATGGCAGCTCCTCTCTGCTCAAGAGTCGGCGCTTTTGTAGGAAAAGATGTTTCTAAAAGTGTGTTCCTGTCGGTGCACGGAGCACAGCAGCTCCGAACCATAATTTAGCCTAATCTGAGTCTGAGTGCTGCTCACTTTGAGCCCCTATATTGTAGCTGAATGCATAAAGAGGCCTCTTTCTGGAGGAGGGGAGGCAGAGCAGCATCACACAGCTGCACAGCCATATACAGATGGAAAGGGAAATGGGGACACTGGTCGTGTAAAGTTCACCTGAGTGCAGAATCTCTCTGACATTTAGACTCGATCTGCTGTTTTTGTGGCGTTATCAGCTCAGTGCACCTCAGCCCTCCTCCCGTCTCTGCCTTTTTCTCTGTTTGTCTTCCAATCTTAAATCACCACCTGTTTACGTGGCAGCCCTTTGAAGAAGAGGGGGATCTTTCCTCAAAGCAGCAGATAGCGAGTCCTCCACATGTGAAAGTGATCTGTATCGCCTCACCTCATCACTGGGGATTGTGTTCAAATCTCTCGTAAAGCCGCGTCTATCATCCTGCGACGTCGCCTCGGATTTAAATTTCAAACGTGCGACTACGCTGCGGGCGAGGCCGACTCGGGCTTGTAATTGGCACTCGTTTTAAGGAAGATCGTTTGGGGGAATGTGCCGGTCCTAAGAGTAAAGTCTTATTTACGCTGTTTGGCACGTGCTGGAGAAGAAAAGCGATTGCGTCCCTTTCTTTCTGGAGAGCTCGGCGCTTCTGTGGCTGTTTGTTTGGTGAAGACCAAACCTGATTGATTTTACGTTTTATGACGACCTGTGTTCTGTAGTTTCCCTGAAATCACGTTGAGGTTTTATTCTTGGCTCGAGTTGGAGATCCTAATCAGGAGTTCTTGGTCGAACGTTTCACTGTCGTTCTTGTTTTTCTAGCTCAGACTGGAAATAATCTAGTATTTCTAGTACTTTAACAAAACACTCAAATAATGAAGGAGAGGATGCTAAAATATATAAATGAAATGTAAGTACAGGTTATACTTGTTTAACGTTGGGCCTTTCCTAAACCTGATGTAGGTTTTTGGTGTCTGCGAGTCAGAATAAAACCCAAATATCACAAATATGAAGCAAGATACAAACGGATAAACTTGTGATTCATGCTGAACCTTAGAAACAGGGCTGTGAAGAAAGGATTTGGCCACATTCTGATTTCTTACTTTCATGTTGTTTCAGTTCATCGAACAAACTTTAAGACAAAAGATAACCGAGTAAATGCAACATGCAGAGTTCAATTTCACAATCCAGACCTGATCTCTGTCACACCTGCTGAAAAAAATAAAGTGAAGCAGGCTGAAAGATCTCAAACAGCAGCACATCACGCCGCGACCCAGTGACACCATCAGTCGGTCACAGAGACTTTGTAAGGCTCTGGGACTCCAGAGAACCACAGTGAGAGCTGTTATCCACGCACGGAGGAAACCTGGAACGGGGCTGAGCCTTCCCACCTCCCCAACCTCTGATCGAAAATACGAAGGTTTGGCAGCGGCCGAGTTGAAGTCCGGACTGACTGAGGTCATGACAAAGAATCTCGGACGTGATATGAAGGAGTCACTGACGTTGTTGGGTTCAGGGGCAGGTCGCCTCTACATGGCTTTAACGCATCGTTCCTCCTCTTGATGTCCCGTGTGCCGAACTATCAGCTCGTGTGTTTCTGTCGCCGGCGCCGTCTGCCATGTTGGTTTTGATGCCCTGCGATGAGAGTGATTCTAGAGGCTACACGTATGAAATGAGAAGGGCGTGCTTTTGCATTGTGACGTTTACGCGTCGGCTCTCTGCGAGTCATGGCGCGCTGAACATGGCTTCAGTCGTGTTTCTGGGGTTGCTGGTGTTGTTAGAAGAGGACGTGTGGAAACGTCTTCCCACTGTGGAGATTTGTGGCAGTTAACGCAGCACAGATTTGACGTGTCTCAGCTCCTGAGGGTATTCACGGGCTCCCCAACAGGATGTTCGAGTGTTAACTTCATTCCCTGGTTATTATCGTAATGAGATGAAATGTAAGCCTGACTTTTATAATCACGGGCTTCATTCCCACATCTGTAATCTTCAGCACCTACGGCACACTGAGACTTTTAACCCTCTCCAGGCAGGCGTTGCCCATTTGCAACAGTTAAAAACTAACAACCTGATTACCCCACATACGAGTTTTTTTACTCAGAAGCACCACTGCAGGACTCGGTCGTGCATTAGCAACAAAAAGTTTAATTTGAGCCTGAGAGGGTTGAGGTGTGAATCTTCCCCCTTCTGCAGCTCTTTGAGCATCGTTTCATCCTTCAACAGTAATTTCAATAAGCATTGTCGTTTCAGCGCAACGACTCTTTCTTGTTATCTCTCTATACCTACATGCCTCTTTCTCCAACGTCTCCAGAGATCAGGACACGTGTCAAAGTCTCAGTTAGTTGTTTCTTAAAATATTATTATTTTCTGAGGCGTAGACTGTTGAGGCGAGGAAGCAAAAAGCCTGTGGGGTTTCTATAAGCGTCTCAAATACAGATGCAAACGACAGGAGAGAAGAAACCCGGTGAAAACAGCGAGGCGGAAATAACGAAGGGAGTCAAAGAAATGAGCGCTGTGCTTGCGTGCTGAAGGAGTTCAAACTGAAGGAGCTGGAATAACAGTTATTGCAACAAATTGCATTTTTGTTGCACGCTGTTTAAAAAGAGGTGAAGCATTGCTCATGCTGCCACAGCAGCTGGTTTCCTTCGTCTAAACGAGGCGACTCCCAGCAGAACAGGTCACTCTGTAACACCACTGCTGTGATATTCATTCATACTCGAAGAAAATTACGAGGGGTTTGCTAAACGTAGTATTGTAACCGAGGTGTTCACTGAGCAGCACACTAATGCGTTTCAAACTCTGGATGGGTGGGTGTGCGCAGCCCAGTTTATTTTAAAGGTCGACACTTAGGATGAATTTTGAGACATAAAATGACAAAAAGCTGTTTTGGGTCTTGGAGTCCAATTAAACTTTCCACATATTTCAAACAAGATTCCCCAGATTGTGTCAGATGTCTTTGTTTTTCAGTATAAATCATTTTCTTCCAGTGCAAGCTTGTCTTATCCAGTCGCGTTGGTCTGTGAGATTTCCCACCAAAACAACGCTATCAGCTTATTGGATCTCACATCTATAAGAGCTGCAGTACTTCCTCATTAACTTAAAAACCTATCAGCTGAATTCAGCCAGAAATAAAGTCAGTGTCTTTTACTGTAACACATATTATGAGGATCTGCCTCCTCATAATTGGAAAAACAGACTCCTGCTCTCAGATTCACTTGAA